TCTTGGCAGGAGGGGGGGTTTCATTGGTATCTTATGGAATTCTTGCAAGTTGTTATATTTGGTCACCTGCATCTTTCTCCCTTGTGCGTTCACTTCTTGTACAATGTCAATCATATCCAGAGCCAGATTTGCAATATTGACGGCATGTTTAGAGCATCTTGTTGGTAAACCACTCACAGCCATGTACTTGTCTCCTACGGTCTCAACCTGAAATACAAACTTTGTGTTAGTAACCAATCAAAACTCTCCTTATGAAAACAGACTCAAGAAGTCAGTTGTTCATTTCTGCATCTAATGGCTTTGATGTTGTAACTGGACCAAAAGACGTGTCATTCCAGAAAATATCCATTACCACCCAATGGAAGGTCATATTTGAAAATTCTGAGGGGATGGGGGATCTGTAATGTAATGTACTGTAATGTATGGTACTGTAATGTACTGTATGAAGATCACACTGGACTCAAATTCCTAGAGGAGTGGGTGGCTCAAACCCCAGGGGGTACTTCCACACAAAGAGCTTGCAGGATGCTTGTCATCTCACTTAAGGGTTTTAATCATGGATTCAGTGATTTTACTTAGGGTGTTGATGACGAAACAGCACTATTTTTAGCTGTCAAAGTATCTTTTAGGGTGCACTCAAAGAAATAACAATAAAAGAAACTCTCTTATTTCTGTTTTTAAACTTGATTTCCACCAGTCTCGAGTCTGGTCTACTAGTGCGGGTACCTGTACTGAATGTCCAACGGTGGGTAATCGAGCCTATAATTTATGTTTTAAGCAGTACCTTTCAGGGGTCAAATAGAGCTCAAGTCGTGCCTAGATTGGTCCACTTTAGGTGTTTAATTTAAATTTTCTGAAGAACATCCCCAACGTTTTCATATGGGAGTCCCCCGAGGTTCAAACCACTTCCATAGGGGAATAAGTATAAATTGTCTGGAGCAACATGATGCAAAAAATACTCAAACATTGCATGACTTTGTGTAACTCCTTACCTTGAAAACTTCATTATTTTTGTCAGCCAAAGCATCAAACTTGGTATATGTCTCATTAAGAAGTTCCACAATTTCCATGGGCTCGCTGCTCTGATTACAATAATTTGTAAAATCCACAATACCACTGAACATGATTGTAACAAGCTCGTACTTCTTAGCCATGACAGGTCGTTTCAGTCTGAGGTCGTTAGCCACTGACGTTGGCAGGATGCTGTAAAGGAGTCTATCAGTGAGTTGCTGTTCCTTCTGCAGCTCACGTGATGTCTGCTGAAGCTTGTCAGTCAGGATTTCAAGTCGCTGAGACAAACGTGACTCTGCATTGTGTTGTTCAGAGAGAAGGATGAGATCCCTGGTTGCATCGTGGATTGGAATGTCACTCAGATACAGACCTAGAACATGTTGAAAATCATCTTCATACCACTCACACCAGGACAAAATTTCAGAGGCCGATCCCTTACTAATTACTTAGAGGTTATTTTTAACCTCTTGAGTGCCTATACGATGTACTCAGTTAGATGTCATGATTTTTGTCCCTCAGGAGCCTACATGACATACTGAGTGAGTCAAAATTTTAAGAGATTTAGTCAAACTCCAGGCACACAGGAAACAGCTTTGATCAGCACCTGAGATTTCTAGGTTTTTCGAGAGACTGAGCTAATTTCCCATTGCTGTGACATCATATGGATATCAAATTATGTCAACCTCAGTGAAATTAACTGCAATGAAGAGACACTTTAATGGCCTTTCAAAAAATGTGTACATGTCTATAGTTTAAGTGAAAAAACTTATGGCATTTGAAGTTTTTTTCTAGACACCCATTTTCAGTGAAAATGGTATATGGCACACTGCGCAGACAATCATCTTGAACTCAAGGGGTTAATATTTGAGCATTCAAGACTTAATCAATATTTTTGTTCCTTTGTGTTGGTTTTTTTTCTACCTATTTGGTGTTTGTAAGCCTGATAAATTAAAGCTATTCGTTTTTAAATCAACATTGCCCCACAAGTACACAACAAAAATTCACACAATATTTCCTTATAGATTTATGTCAAATAGAAGAAGATATATCTTAGCCACATCTACCAACCTATTTCATTGAGGCCATCCAAGTTTAGAACACTTGGTGTGCAGAGGAACATAACGCTGTCACATTCTGGAAGATACAGCATCTGTCCACGGAATCTCATTGTTGGAAAATCCAGGGTACCTATATCATCCTCTGAAACTGTCGTCAAACTGGTAGAATCCAAAAGTCCTTCTTTTGTTTTGACAACATATACCTTGTTGATGAACTGTAAAATGTGGTCATATGTTAACTGGATATGTGGACGGATGACTTCAAACACTTCATTGAGCCTCGTCTGACCAACTTTCACGGAGGGTAAAACTCGGAGCAGAGAAATACCCGCTTGGTAAATCACCATTTCGTTGTTGAAAATGATGTGAAATGGACATGCTTGGCAGAATGTTTGATTGCTGATTCTAGAACCTAATGTGACCAACTCCAGCTTCTGCTCCATCTTTTGAATTTGTTTATCGTGATGTTTGAGTCGTGCCATGTCATCGTAGTTTTCTGGCGTGACAACAATCTTTGACCATGTTTTTTCTTGGTTTGTCGGCACAGACACCTCAATATTTACCTCAATTTTATAAACTTCTCTTGCAACTGCTTTGACAATACCTACAACCATGTACTCAAGCCCAACCCTTTCAGAGTAATATAAGATTTCTATACCACGACCATCAGGAGTATCGTTGGCATGAAAAGAAGGTGCTCGCAAGCCCGGGAAAATGAACAGGAGATGTTCATGAAGTGCATCCAGACTGTTGAAAAAGTCTTTCAGGTTACTTCCGAGAGTGTCGAGCATCTTTTCGTAGCCAGAGTTTTGGCAAAATTCAAAGAAGATTCTCCCAAACTTTTCCAAAATGGCATTGTGTGTCAACCCTAATAAGAAATAAAGTATTTTAACTTCTTTTCATCTGTATTTCATTTACTTTATTAAGCTCATGGGCTAATTCTGTGATACCACAGGCAGCCCAGACGTTGAATATGATTAATACGTGACATTATGCTGTTGGCGATTGCGTTACAATTTTAGCCG